CTGTATTTTCCATTCCCTTCGTTGATCTGGATTCTCTTTTCAGAATGTCAATCTGTCTTTCCATGCCGCGGAAAGAAGTCAGTTGAGTAGCGCGGGTGATATGACATTTGCGTAATGTCATGCGCACCACTTTGTTCGATTATATATGACAACGTTCAGTGAAATCCAGAGCAGCAGAAGTCGAATTGCTGCCCAGTATATTATATTTCCACGCGATAGGGTGAGCAGTGCCATACCAGGCTAACAGAGAGGGCATGGAGAAATTCATCTGAGCGTAAACATCCTACGGCATTCCAACGGCGTTCAATGATTGAATATGCGGGTTTTAGATTGTCCGAATTAGCGTCAGCTAAAGAGAACAAATCGACGAGACATACGGTGTATCATCAGGCGAGATCCTTAGTGGCGCTGAAGAATGAAAAGGACCAGCACAGTCGTGTATTTACCAGCTAGCATTTATTAGCGACTGCCACGGTCCGGTGTGTGCCGGCGAGCGAGCTTAGTGAACTTTCCCACGGCACTCTCACCCGTTGACATTCTACTCCGTTCTTTGCGACCACCATTACCACAGTCCATTCTTACCATAGTCGTGCGCCTCCTTCTATTTGTATTCTAATTCACTGAGCTTTTTATTCCCTGTACCGTTCCGGATGTTCGTTATTCCCGTTCCCGTGGGTCGTTGTTTCATGGGCCCGAGCTCAGCTGCTGATGCCGCACTGTTTTTCGAAATGGTGTGCTGCAATGTCTACTTGCTCGGTGCTCGGGTTTTGTTGTTTTCATGGGCTCAAGTTCTGCTACTCCTGCTGCCGCGCTTTTTCTTGGATGGCGGCGTGCTGCAAATGGCGTGCTTGACTCGGTGTTTGCATTTTGTTGGTCCCGTTCCATAGGCCCTGCCGTTCCTGCTGCCGCGCTGTTCTTCGAAATCGTGTGCTGCAACATTGGGCGTCCTTGGTGCTTGTGTTTGGTTTTGGTCGTTCCCGCCCTGCCAGTTTTTCGGTGCTCTGTGTTGCTCGTGGTCCGTGCGTATGACTGTATGTTTCAGTGTCTCACATTACATGACAACATCCCACTTCCATTTCGGTCCGTCCCCAACGACACTCGTGCCTCTTCTTTCGGCTTCGGCTCGGTATTGAATGAATGAATATTACATTACTAACCTTTTCAAAGTGCCCCGCAAAGTACGCAACCGTGCGATCACAACGGTATGAGCCTTTGCGGCCACGGCGCATGGCTTGCCATGTCAGGGCTGTGGACCCGACCGTTCCTGATTGGGACCTGGCGCCAGTACACACACCACACCACACCACACCAAGACGACCGCGAGAGCTTTTTCGGAAGAATCAGAACCCAATTGCACCAATAATCTCTCGGATCTTGACAAAAAGCAGCAAAAAGGCAGACTTGTTTTGCGTCGGATGTATATTTCTCGATTCATCCGAATCCTCCCTGGGAAACCATCAAATGGGGACCAAAACGCGCCCCGACGTACGTCACGTACGTATGCTTTTTACTATACCAGTGCCCGCTGTTGACGGAGGCACTCTAGTCACTTATCATACTCAACCCCCGAAAATGAGTTACAAACCACGAGCAGTCGCGAACTTAGCGATAGCCGAGACATACTTAGTCTGAATCCTCTGTGACCGACTCGACGAATAATTATAATGTCTCGATGTTATGATTGACCAGTAGAGACACGCACGCCGATGATCTTGGTTGATGAAAATTTGTCCCTGGCACAACTAGCGATGAATCTCCGAGTCCCTTATGCTCGTGCTACGCATATCACAAGGTAGCACTGATCTACACCCATTATCTGGGCAGCTTTTGTACTTTCGTACATCCAAATACATTCGCTGATTGGTATACGGCGACATACTTGATATGGCGCTGATCCAGACTGTCTCCCTCTGTCTCCCTGTTTGCACTGGCACTCCCGTGCTTGTGTAATAAATTAAGAATCCGGATCTTTTATCTATGAATAGGAATCAATGGACGGCTATCTTCGAAGGTGATCCCAAGCACACTCTGGTATATAAGTGACGTATCGTTCCCTCAAGGTCTACGCCCCAAATGTCGTCGCCCACTCCGGTACTGATACCCTTCAACTTCACTGACTTCAAAATCGGACCAACGCTCGGAGCAATTTATCTCGGGGCCACCATCGCTGCAGTGTGTGTGGGCTTTCCTACTCTCCACTCGGATGGATGCTCATTCCACGCTCTAGCTTCTATGGGATAACAATTCTGCAGACCGCCGTGTACTACAAAGTCAATCCTAATGACCCGCGGATCTTTCGTTACACGGTATGGAATCCTAATCTCTCGCACTGGACTCCCCTCATGAAAATACAGGTTGCCTTTCTATGGTACGCTGAGGATGTATACCAAGCTTTATCTTGACGCGCTCCAATCTGCAGGATCCTCGATACACTCCATGTTGCCCTGAGCACCCACGCGCTCTATTTTTACCTGATCGAATCATTTGGAAATTATCTCGACCTGCTGAAAGTCATCTGGTACGTGAATCATCGGCTAGTCAATGCATGGAGTTCTGACTTTGCTTGCAGGAGCTTTCCCGTAACTCTCTTTCCTCGTTTCGTTGATACGTGATGCATGACCCACCTTTTTCCCCGTTAGCTGCAGCTCGTGTTCAATGTACGCTTCGATTGTCGCTTAACAAGCTTTGCCATTAAACTGTTCCTAGATGCTCGTTGCCACCTGTGTTCAAGGGTGCGTCTCTCCCAGACTTGTTCTCTAATTAAGTATTGGGACGATTCAGCCCGCTGTTCTGCAGATTATATGCCATCAGAATATGGAAACGTTCGTCGTCTTTCTTTGGAATATCCGTCTCTAATTCATCTGCTCTCATAGTCGGTCGTCATTTCCATGTGGTCTTGCCATACTTCATTGTAAGTGTTTCATCTTCTGCATAATACCGCGATTCGATGTTAATATTTGATGTGCAGTTCCTTGCTGTCGCAGCGACGTTCGGTGAGCCTTCCCCTTGGCCTGAAGAAGGATGACATGATGGCTTAATTCTCTCGCAGGCACTGGACTCTGTAAGCAATGGTTTCCTGCGTAGGAATGATTTACTGACACCTTCACGGTTCTCAGATGTGATTTACGACACGTAGGCGTCCTGGGAGCCATCACTGTCCACTTCATTGATTATGTTGTCAGATACACCTTGTCGAGCTTTTTGGGCATTTCGACCATCAGGGTATGTCAATTCGAACGAGCGCGATGACGAGAATCTGATCCTTAGAAGACATCCATATATGCCGTCTTCTCCACGATGGTAGGAGCCGATTTCGCCATTTCCGGTGCAATGTGCTATTACCTGCACAGGGGCAAGTCGATGACCAACTTGTCCAGGTGTGTGTCTGATCCTAAGGCTAAACCATGTGAAAATTGCTCAAGCTGAAGAGATAGCACTACGAGGACGATCGTAAGATTAATGCGGGTCGTGGTGATATCTGGGCTGTTGACGAGGTATGGATCTTATGTTTATCACGCCTTGCGAGCTGATTGCGAGTGTGGGTAGCGTGTGTTCTCTTCTGACTCTCGTGACGGTGAGCATTCCCGTCGATGGTATTGTGGCTATCTCATCTTGATTTTCCAACCTAACAGTACATTGTCTGGCCTGATACTCTTATTTTCATGGCCCTCGGTACCTTCATTCTGCCAAAGCGTAGGTTTTTGAATATTTCTTCCACTTCCTATCTCTGACTATGTTACTCATCAATAGTCTATATAAATTCCTTACTCGCAATGTGAGTCCAGCGCCTACCATCCTCTTTTAAATTATAATTCTTTCCCAGGCTCAACTCGCGCAAAAGTTCAATGTGGTCGTACGGAAGTACACCTCACATTGACCAAAACTTGAAGATAATCCGATTTGCTCCTCCTGGTGATGAAAGTGGGATAGTCGATTCAGGACAGATGGTGCGTACAATCCTCTCGATGCGATTGGCTTACCTGACAATTCCCTTGAGAATTTTACTATCCCCGGTCTCTCCGTGACCGGAGCAGAGACAGTATGTACAATGTCCCGCGAGCCGCATTCCATTGGCTGATCTGTACTTCCCTCAGAATATCAGTGTACCTCTACCCGTAACGGAAGGAAGCAGTTCGAACAGTAGCATGGGTGATATGACATTCGCATAGTGATCATCATATGGGGTTCTTTCATGCCGTTTAATTTTAGGTCTACTATCCCTGTGATGACTGGTATGTATCTAGTTCCTAGTCGTACACATTGAGCAGCAGAAATGGCACTATGTCAGTTAATCCGTAACGATTGGTATTTGGGTACGTACAAGATATTCTCTACAACGTAACGAGGACCAAACCGATTGGCCCTATCACGGACACTCGCTCTCATCGGCATCGGTGAGCCCGCTTTCAACAATCCCGTACTTTCCCTAGAGAAGAAGAGTTAGTAGAAATTTGAGCGCGACGGTACAATCACAAACCTTATCCTTGCACAACGGAGCACATCTTAGCCTGCTCTTCATATGTACTTCGAGGATAGGGCAACTTGACGTCAGATTCGCAGCAGTTCTGAAGCACAAAGTGTTATGGATATCGGTCTCTGTCGGTATGCCTGAGTCAACACATGCCTTCACTCGGTCTTCTCGGCCTTGGCAGTGCTCGCACTTGGCTCGCACTTTCTCTTACTTTCTCTCACCTTCTTGCTGCTACAAGAATACGCTAGAACATTGTAGAATAAGGATGCCTGGACTCTGTAGTATATAAACACTGTCTTTACTATTGTATCTTCAGCTATCAACTCAGCTTTCAACCTCCACAGTCCCTGTGTGAACCTAAGTGATCAAGATCGGTTACGCTTAGCGCTCGTTAACGAACTTACGGATCCCTCTTGGTAATCGGACTCAGCTTACGGACATCCTCGCTCTCATCAGGCTTTTCTTCGAGTATTCACCCACTCATATATTAGCTTGACTACCCATATTCTTAACACAAAGTAAGATAAGCTCCTCCATAGATTAGTGGTAGTTCGTCTTGCTTATGTCCGAATTTCATGTGATGGTTGGTGACAAGCAGGTGTCGGTTCGATTCCGAGTGGTGGTGTTACAATGAGGCAAGTCTTTTTGGCTCTTCGCGCAGTGGTTCCGTGTTCGTTTGTCCGACGACTCGGCCCTCGGGATGGTGCCAAGGCCCAACACTGAACAGTTAACATTGTATGTAAGATTTAGCGATGTCGACAGTCATGTGAACGGCCAGTCAAAACATTGATTGTACATTTGAGTATTAAGGGGAACATCTGGAAATAGAATCCGCAAACTGACGGGCGACCGTGACACTATTCTGCTCACCTTGCTGGACCTGAGGCACGTCAGTAAAAAGTTACGAATGAGTCGCTCCATCAACGCACCATTTATTGGGACCTTGTTCCGGTACCGATACCACTTACCAGGATAGGTTACGTAGAGTGTTGTATGATGGAGGCGAATGAGAGTGGGCCCACAGTTTATCACCGTAAGATTCAACCATTCGGTGTCGTGCATACATAAGTCGACCGAGCTGCAAATGTATAGAGCTGTGAATATACACATTTTCGAGGGAGCATAGATGAGTGCAGCTCCTACAGCGACATCGAAGATAGTCAGAGAATCGGAGAGATTGGTTGATCATCACACGTTGATGGGATCTGCAAATATTCAGAAGCACGAAAATAAAGAATCGAGCGCGACTGACGATAACTCCAAAGACCCCAGCCGCAAGTGCTCCTGGTGCCGCGATCTTTTTCGGGTATGAGGGCGTGCAGGGCGCTGTGCATCCATCTGAGCAAGGCCGTGCGGTGGTCGATGCGTTGTAAAGACTGGATGCGATGCGAGACAACTCGCTGATATAGACAAAGTTATCACGGCGGCCGAGAAAAGGGAGCTTGACGAGGGTTCCTGCTGGTAGCGTCCCAGGAATTCCGATTACGCTTGCTGGTAGGTCGGTATTATTCAGGAGAAGCGAAAAAAGGCATTGCGATAGGTGATATAGACGGAACCATCACAGAAATTAGCGCTTCCAGTATTCCTTGCACCTGATGCTGGCCGAAAATCGCCGCGTCACCCTTGGGAGGAGTAGCCGAGTCCGATGACCGTCTTTCGTTGTAAGCAGGAAAATGGTGTTCATGCACCCTTCTCGCAGCGCAAGGCCTTGAAGATCTCCTCGGATTCGTAGGTTCATAGCGTATTGTAGCCCCATTCTAACTCGAATACCGGTAAAGCACAGGGAAAACAAAATAGAAAACTGGATCAAAAAAAAGTCGCGTCAGATCCTTACATTACGAGCACAGCGTTAAGCGAGAACCTACTTCCTTCGAACGACATCAGAAAACCCCTGCGAGCAAGATTTTTCCAAGACGGTGGTGATGGTGGTAAGAGCAGAGGCCGACGCGACCCCGGGTAGCACGCGTCACCTTGCTTATAAATCTCAGCTTTCGCTTATGACTTCACCAGCAACTCTAGAACCCCGACGACCGTATAGCTGGACCGTAAGGCGTCTCTATATAATATAAGAAAGATGGCCTCCTTTCTCTGATCTCCGGCTACTTAATCAGCTCCCCAGTCTTCACAAGCTTGTTCATCCTCACATTGACCACCGCACGGACCTCTGACGCCTTGCTCGGATGGAACTATGCCCATAGGATTTCTGTCCCCGTATGCCTGAGTCGTTCCCTACAAAAGATCGCGGTGCCGGGAAAGCGCCTGCATCTGTGTCCAATGGAGACTTTGGATTTATGGTTCTTTGTCTTCCTATCTCTGAATATCAGCAGGCTCCGGGCATTGCTTTGTATGTAGACTTGACGACATCGGTACCGATGTTTGTTTCGTGAACGTTGTTCTTTGGTGGCGGAGGTGATATCTCTGGTTTTACCGTTTGAGTTGAGGAGGGCGGCTATGTGAGCGTACAAAATTGATTACGTGAACTTGATTTTGATCCTCGCTTAGTTACAGATACTGTGTAAAACACGAACTAATTGCTAGTTCCTCCCGATGCTTCAGACTACCTTGTGATTGCTTTAGCTTACGTGGACAAAATCAATTCAATGCATCGCCAATTTGAATCATCCTGGATCCCGAGGCTCTCCAAGTGATCATCAATCAAACGCCCAACATAGCTCGTGTCGCGTATAGCACAACACCCTCAGCCGAGGCTCGCGATGAACTGCTTGGAATGTATCCCTATGATAGTGTTCAAGTATGACACGACATTTCCTTCTTTATATGTTCGTCGCATCCACCAAGGCTTCGGAAAATGTTGCCTTTCCGACAGCCGTTTTGTCTCACGTTGTTGATATGCAGAGTGATGGTGCAGCCCACGGTGATGCCGGTCTAACTTGACACAGCATTCTGACTATGGCCTTTTCCCCTTTATATAGCGATAGTTCCCCAGAAATCTCAAAGTACGCGGCACCATGTTCAATCATCAAAGTAAGCAACCTCTCCTCCATATTAATCATGACCAACGCGTCTTTTGACAGCGCGCGCACCCGAAGAGACCGCGAGCTTTTACGGATACACGCCCGACAGAGCGATTTGTATCATATTCCTATCTCTGTTCTCAGTCTCGACGAGTGAGTGACCTTTTCCTTCCAAGATTCAGTGTTTCGTGTGCTAACTTGTGACGGTATTAGTCGTTCATGTAGCCCAAGCGATCGCGTACAGAACATGGTGGTGGCTCGGTACGGCGGTTCTTTGTGGTGTCCTCGAGATCCTAGGGTGGAGTGCGCGTCTCTGGTCGAGTTTCAACCCTGGCTTGAAGGATCCGTTTGCGATGCAGTAAGCTGACCGTCCTTCCCGGGTCTTATGTCCTCACTGATTGGTATGCCACTAGACTGACGTGCACGATATTGGCGCCCACACCGCTGTTGGCGGCAAACTTTGTGATCCTGGAGAAGTTGATCCAGCGTCTAGGGACAGGGTACAGCCGGTTAAGCCCAAGAGCTTGTACGTATGCTATTTCTTTTCTTTCAGGCATGTTTCACTCATCATTGGCAGATATGATCCTGTTTAGCACATGTGATGTTCTTTCGCTGGTAGTGCAGGCGTTTGGAGGAGGTTTGGCTTCAAGTGCGGTGTCGAATGGTACTGATCCGGAGAAGGTACCAACTGTTGTTGGGTTGTTTGTGATTTGGCGGCTCATGTTTATCTTCAGGGCGGGCACATAATGCTAATCGGTGTCGCATTTCAGCTAGGTGCGTCTGGCTCTCCTTATGGGACAAAAGAGGTGTTTTAAGACATAATCCTAGCGGTGATAACTTTATATTCGATATTGGGCATCGAGTTCTTTGCAAGATACCTTATTGGTACACCCATACGAAATCATGGAGGGGACCAGAAGCGAGGCGACTTGACCACGAACTTGAAATTGATGATCGCAGCACTCGCATTCAGCACCATCTGTCTGTTCATTCGGTATGTTCTAATCCCGCTGTGTAGTGCCTTCAGATCACTGAGTTGGTTCGTAGAGCGGAATATCGAGTAATAGAGCTCGAGGATGGCTGGGGCGGGAGAATCATCACGACGGAGGTGTATTTTAGTACGTGTTTCGGTGTCGTGGTTCCATTTTTGGCACTGATGGACACACCAGACGTCCTAGATGGTGCTATGATTACGCTGGCGATATACGTCGTCAATGTCTTTCATCCTGGGAGAATCTTCCGCCATACGAAGGAGCGCCGGGTTGACGGTCCGTCATATATCACAATGAGCTAGTACTAGACTCACGGACATGTGTATCGGTGGCATCTATTTATCTAAATAATTTATGTATAGAGAAGTCAGCAGTACCACCTGCAGAAGCAGGCATTAATATTCCCAGGTCACGAAGCACTTAGCCCTGCACCAGTATCCTATTGGCGGAACGCGGTTGTGGCGTGGTAAAAGTTCCCGTTTTGGATTTGACCCCAGTGGTTCTTGGCTTGCCACTGCTCACGACAACCGCCAAATTCAAATCCAACGAATATTCATTGCTGCGTATCGCGGCTAGCACCCATCTTCTTTCCTTCACTGCGAAATGGATAAGACGAAGAGAAGAAAGTCGACATTGGCTTTACCTGCAGCTGGATTGGAACGCCTTTCCGATTTGATCCTATAGCTCCCTTGTGATTCTCGTGCTGCAAATCCGGACCATATTGCCACTGACGAACGCCATTGAAGGTGTCCGAGTCTCGCACCGCTGACGGTCCTGTAGCGTGCCACTCATAACTAGAGCTACCCGCAAGAGAAGGCTGGAGCTAATTTGTGCGTTGTTTTGCTTATAATTTTCTGCCCGTGTTGCTCAACACGCTGTACTGTTATTAGACATGTGCAGAAGGACTGCAGAGCCTTTGATTTTAAAGATTTCCTCGTACCAATATCGATGAGGCCGTAGGAATCGTTTGGACGTTTTCGAGCCAGCGTGACTGTCGTTGCTGGGGCCGCCGGTCTACTGAACGACAATCGTAGCAACCGTGGACCACGTATAGAACACTCGACCAGTATTGATGGAACAAAGGTCTGTATTTGTTACTGTGCCTCTCCCTTTGTCCCACTAACTCTTTGTTTTGCAAAGTACAACACGTTATCAAATTTCTAGAAAGAACTAGTTATAAAGAGAGTTTGCCCTGTCGCCTTTCGCCTATCATCTCTCCTCCATGAAACAACACTCCTTGACCACTGCAACAACCACACGGGAGCTCGAACCGACTCAGGATTCCAGTTCTGTCCCCCTTTTGAATGTTGACTCTGCATTGCTGCCGACTCCACTTGAAGAAGCCCATGCCGCCCGCACCGTGGAGCTTAGCCGCGACGTTGCTGAAAATACAGGTATGTTCCTATGCTTACACTAGTCGGTGTCTACCAAACTTACATTTGCAGGAAAACCAAAAGGCTACCAAGGTATGAACTATCGCAATGCCCCAAGGCAGACAATGGAGAACCAGACTATCCATCCGGACGACCAAACAATCATTACGTCGCAGCCCATGCCGGGCGAAAGCAACACCTTGGCCACTTTCCCTGATGGCTGGGCAGAGTGCATGCTCACAGGCTACGTGAAGAAGCAGATCCTGGCTACACCTGGGTTTCCCC